ATATGAATAAATTTATGTTGCAACAAATAACTTGAAATTATATAGTGTTAATATATGAACATAAATGTAGATAAACATATAAATATACACACATATGCATATACATTTATGTATATGTTAATATATGCTATATATATATATATATATATATATATATATAAATGTTTGTGTGTGTGTTTACATACATGTACATGAACATATACATATACATAGATAAACATATGCATATGAACAATACAGACACACAACATACATACCACACACACACACACATATATAGATATATATATATATATATATATAGATATATATATATATATATATATGTGTGTGTGTGTGTGTGTGTGCGCGCGTGTGCGTGTGCGGGTGTGTATGTGTGTATGTATATACACATAAACATATATATAATATATATATATATATATAGATATATATATATATATCGATATATATATATATATATATATATATATATATATCTGTGTGGTGTGTGTGCGCGCATGTGTGTGTATGTATGTATGTTTATGTATATATGGGTTAATATGCATCTGTTTATCTATAAATAAACCTATGTATATGACACAGATATATACATAAACATACATACATACATACACACACACACACACATAATATATATTATATAATATATATATATATATATATATATATGTGTGTGTGTGTGTAGTGTGTGTGTTTGCACACACTTTTAAATAAAATGCACATATAAATATATATATATATATATATATATATATATATATAGACGAACATATGCATAGTGTGGTAATGCATATATATGAACACATTGATATAAATTATGAGTATATATATATATCTATATATATATATATATATATATATGATATATGCATGTATTCACATACCATACACAATCATATGCATATACAAACATATAAACATATGTACATATGCGCGTGTATATATATTATATATATATATATATATATATATATATATAATGAGCATTTGAATATAAGCACATAGGGACAAGTATGTAGACAGAGATGCATATGTGTATATTTATCCTCAAACAAACAAACAAACAAACGCACACATATATATATATATATATATATATATATATATATATATATGAACATATAAACAAATGCACATATGTGTAATCCCTGAACTTTGCCATTGGGAAAAAGATATGCAATGATGGAAGATAGTTTATGAGAATGGATAGTGTATGAGAGTAACATGAGAAAGAAAAAAAAGAATCACAAATAAAAATGGAAATAAAATGTCTAAATTACATTAAGTGAGCTTAAAATCAATCCATTAAGTTGAGTTTAAATATATTTAGTAAAAACAACTAAAAAATATACACTCACATATGTATTTTTAATATTTAGTACACAATTTAGTAAATCTATTAAGTAAAAAAATAATTATATTAATACAGGTATACTATTCAACCACATTACATCAATAAATAACACATTAATATACAACATCTAAAAGATGATTCACACCTTACCTTATTGCCGCATGTCACTATGCTGACCATAAATTGCTTTGCATATATTTTTTCGAGTTGATAATCTTACCTATTATGGCATGCCATTTAGTGGTAACTTACATATACATCAACTTGAACTTGATAATGAATATGAATAACAAAATACAAATGCACATTACTTAACCTTTTGTCATAGTTTTGACTATCAAAATAAAATTTCATGGAAATCATGGACTATTTATTTTAAGGTTAATTACACGAATCGTCCTTATGGTCTACCCAAATTTGCTACTTTCGTCCTTATGTTTTGTTTTACACTCGAACTGCCCCTTGTTATTTTGAAACATGCATGTGTCATCCGTGGATCCACTAGCCATTTATTTTTTAGTTTAAATGCGCTATGTGCATTGTCTACATGGGTATTTATGTCTTTTTACATACATGGCTAAGTGCGTACATATGGGTATTTTGGTCTTCACTCAACGCTGATCAAGACTGATAGTTTCTTAAAAAACTAGGTTTCTCAAGTGGGATGAACACGAGTCAAAACAACGAAGATACTAGGATACCTGAAATGTGGGATCATCCTACTTATTGGTGGAAATAAGCGTTAAAAAATAGTTGGTTGGAAGAAAGGTAATAAGCCATGGATTTGATGTGTTTGTTTTGCATTTCTTTTGGTTGGAAAATATAATGCCTTATGAAACATGAAATAATGTTTGGGTGAACCTTTTGAAACAATGTTTGACAATGTTGATGTTAATTGCATGCATGTTTTAGTGTTCATCTGAATTATTGCATTATTGCCTTTGGTTTCAGCTAATTGTGAATTATTGTCTTACTGTGTTTGTTTTAGTTTCATTGTGGTAATATTTTCTTATTGCCATTGTTTCAGTGGCATTGTGGTATTGGCATTGTTTTTACCGTCATTATGGTTTTAGTGTAGTTGTAGTTCTAACCCAGTCAATGGATTCCAATTCCATTGTGGTTTTAGCATAATTTTGGTGTTGTTGTTCTTGTACTTCCATTGTGGATTCTTACCTAATGATGGATTCAGATTTCAACCAATGGAGTATTCTAACAAATCTAATATATATCAATTACAATGAACAACAAAATAACAATTTTCCAAATTTAATAACCAAAATAACAATCTCATTAACTTCCCAAAAACATGTTACATTATACACATTTTAACATAGGTTAAAGATCATACATGGTTAAAGTTACAATTTGTATACAAGAAAACATAATCAAACTTAAAATAAGGTAAAACTTCAATTTTCCTATTTTGTACTTCAAGCTTGTTCACAAAACTTATACATTGTTAAAGTTACAATTTTCCTGTTTTATCATACATTGTTAAAAGTTACAATTTGTATACAAGGAAATATAATCAAACTTAAAATAAGGTAAAACAAAAAATTTTCTATTTTGTTCTTCAAGTTTGTTCACAAAATTCATACAACCACACCTCTAGTAACCCACCTAACCAATGAATTTAAAACCATGTCCTTAAAAATTACACACATTTGTAATTGTTAAGGTTTTTGAAAAAATAGAGGCTAGGTTAAATTTGTGTGCATTCGATATTACCTTGTTGGAACAACAATATAAACGTCTTCCTAGGTTGTTCTTACTCCGTATTTGCATCTTATCGACATTTATTTTTGGGTTTTTTTTTGCTTCGTATTTCAAGATCAAAGAACGGGGAAGAAGGAGGTAGAAGGGAGAAGCGTGAAAGAGAAATAAAGACTAGAGAGAGGGTAATGGGTCTTTAAAAGGGTTTTCAAATTAAAAGACCAAATTACCCTTGCGTGCAAGGCATGTGTGAAACTTAAACGAAAAAACAGCTAACAGAGCCAATGATGAAGTGTGCAAGTTTCAAAATAACAAGGCACGATGCGAGTGAAAAACAAAACATAAGAACTAAACTCTCAGATTAGACCAATCTAGACAAACGATGATTTGTGTAATTTACCATTTATTTTATAAAATTTTTATTATTACAATTCTTTGAATGACTAATGTCATAAAAACCCTTACGTTTTCAAAAAATATTTGGTTTTACCCATAAGTTTTCAAACCAGGTGTAGGTGACCTGTTGGTAACTGGGTAACTTGCTAAAATGATAAAAATAAAAAAAATTAGGCAAAGTTCCGGCTTTAGTGAACCCAAAAGAAACAAAAGGGTAAAACAAAAGATTTCTTAGAAAACTTAAATGCTTTTATGACATTTGCTTTCTTTGAACTTCATCTATTACTATAACACAATTAGATACTATAAGTTGTTTTATTAAATAAACTTTAAAAGTAAAAACTTTAATATAATCATGTTAAAATTGAAGATATGAACACTTAATGTATACATGCAACAACATATAATCTTTTCTTCATTTAGAATTTAAACTCAGTAGATACTTAATTTATATCAAGAATTTGATTGCATTTTATTATTAATAAAAATTTCTTAAATATATTATATTCACTAAAAATACCATTTTCGAAGCTTATACATCACTTTATTTAAAAAATAACCACAATTTTTGCTAATTGAATTCGCTTAACAACGAGTGGGCAATGACCCACAATTTAATCTTATATTATTAAAATATTAGCTTTATGATAAGCTATTTTTATTGTATCTCCGACACTAAATTGAAATAAACTAGCTTATGTTCACAAAATAAAAAAAAAATTCATAGTTAGTTTTTATAGGATATCAAGAAAAGATTGTTATAATTTCAATAACTTATTTATTTTTGAACAACTAATACATGCCACTAAATCCTACTTGTAAACGATTAATTTTGTCTAGCAGAAGACTTCAATGTTCAACCCTTAAGAGAATGAACATTTTTACAACATCTTAATAGTTAATACCACTAGACTAAAATATTATGGTTTCTATGACTTTCTAAATATTAACATGAATTTTGATTGTAACCATCGTTTCTATGATTTTAACCTAATCTCGTGGGGGTATCCAGCTGTTATTTATAAACGTGATATTTAAAATAAGAATAATTTGCATGACTAGAACCTAATTCCATGCAGCAACCAATTAATGATTTACAACGAGTAATTTAATACTATGAATTTATTAGCATAGATGTGAACGGACATAATTATAATTATATATGAAAAAAAGTTAATTACATCATAACATTTAATTAATCGTATATTACTCCATCGTTTTATTTTTGGATTTATCTAATAAATACAGTATTCTTGTTATACTTGACTCCATTTTATTTACTTGTAATTAAATAGACCATGATTAAAAAAAAAAACCCTTTATGTGAAGGGTAGTTTGGGAAAGTTTAATTGAGCAGTAAAACGACACGTTTTGAGGCGGCAAAGGGTGCATTTGGTTGAACAAACCTAACCACCACTTTCCTTCATGGTTCACACCCATTTTGCCTTTTCTTCTTTCTTTTATTTTTTAATTAAAAATACAAAAATAAATTCTGAACTAACCAAATATAAATTATATTTCCTCCCTTCTTTTTCGGTTTTCTAAAGCCATAACTCTCCTTCTGGATTTCATCGACTGTTCATCTCTCTCATAATCTTTCTCTCTCTAAGACTGCCGGAAACCGCTCGGTTGTCAGTTGTCACCGGTGAGCCGCTTTATTGTCCGTATTGACTTCCGGAGTTCTTTCCGGAGGAGTCGTCCTTAATTAGTGGGCTTACAGAAACGGAGACGGACGGACTATTCTCTGCTATCATTGTGCGGTTCTCTGCGGTTAAGAAGTTTAACCGGTTAATTCTTCCGATCTCTTCGTCCGGTGGCTGTTTTGAGGGAATGTACCGGAGAAAACGACTGAGATCGTGATCTAGGGTTGAGATTTGTTGTTGCTGCGTTTGTTATGTTTCTTTCCCTCTTCTTCCATCTCGATTGTATGGTTTGGTGAAGTACGAGAAGACGGAGGGTTTCGGCGATAAACTTTGGAATGAGATGGTAAATCACACCATTAATTTTTTTTTTCTGAATATATTTAAAAAAATGTGTAGTTCTTTTTTGTTTTTATTTTTGGGAGAACATCGAGTCTCCTAAATCTCTAGCATTATCTTAATTTTTTGTGAATATTTTTTATACTTTGGTATCCAGATTTCCTCAAAATATTTGTTTATAGCTATCTGTTCTTGAAGTTAACGGAATTGAAAAAAAGTTATTTCAATTAGGACTTGGTCTTTGACCTCTGTAATTTGGAAGTTTAATTTTAAAAACTGTAATATTCATGGATGATTATAATTTCTGTTGTTATATCAAGGTTCTATAAATTTCTCTTTTTATTTCCTTGATCGTTTCCTCTCTTGGGCGATACTGTTCACTTTCTTTTCGTCTTGTATGATTTCCGTTAAGAATTTGTTGGGACTCTTTGATGTGGTTGCATGACATTTAGTTGGTTGAATTTCTTTGTTCTTGTTGAACTATATAAAGAGATTCTTCAATATCTTTACTAAACACTCAAGTTTTATGGAAACAAATTGAAAGAGCGATGTAGACTTTCCTTTTTTCTTCTTTTAATGAACGTCTATGGTCATTTAAAGCTTGGTTGAGTTTGCAGAACAATTTATTGTTGTTTTTCCATATATGTAATTAGCTTCACTATTTTCAGCCTTCATGACAAGTTATTATACTGAAGGAGATATTCAATTCAATCTAATTGCTGGATTGTCATAGATTATAGGTAACCTGTGAATTAACATTGCAATCTTTTTCAGGGGGAAGGGAGGGTTTGTTTCTCCAGAGAAGCCAAGTTGGAATTTTTGAAGCAGAAGAGGCTTCAACGAATGCAAACAGGCACATTTAATAATGAAACTGCATATGTGACTAATCTGATGTCTAGAAGCAGTGGTGATGCCTTAAGAGATCCCGCATCCTGTGGTGTAAGATCATTCAGAAATCCAGATATATTTTCAAAATCTGGTAGTGGTCTGAATGAGAGAGACACCATGTCAAAGCAAAAGATTGACAAGTTTGACACAACTGATCTTGTTTGGACTGATAGCATGCCAGAATGTCCAGTATATTTCCCAAGTAAAGAAGAGTTCGAGGACCCTTTGGCTTTTCTCCAAAAAATTGCCCCTGAAGCTTCAAAATATGGTAATTAACTTAATAACTTGTCATTATAAGTTTCTTAACATGAAAGGTGTGTAAATCCATTTCCATGAAATCTTATCACAACAACATTTGTCAGGTATATGCAAGATTGTTTCCCCTTTGAGTGCCTCTGTTCCAGCTGGCATGGTTTTGATGAAAGAGAAAGCTGGTTTTAGGTTTACTACAAGGGTGCAACCTCTTCGTCTTGCTGAGTGGAATACTGATGATAAAGTCACATTTTTCTTGAGTGGAAGGTGTGTTTCTTTGTATATATTTGGATTTTACTTTTTCATTTATTATTATATCAAGTTTTGAGTATCTTTTTTATTCATCAGAAACTATACATTCCGTGATTTTGAGAAAATGGCGAACAAGGTTTTTACACGTAGATATTACAGTGCTGGATGTCTTCCAACTACATATTTAGAAAAAGAATTTTGGCAAGAAATAGCTTCTGGAAAAACCGAAAGTGTTGAGTATGCATGTGATGTTGATGGAAGTGCCTTTTCATCTTCTCCCTCTGATCAACTCGGAAACAGCAAATGGAATTTGAAGGTCTTCTATTCTATTCTATTCTATTCATTATTTTTTCTGTTTTTTTTTATGTCTCTACACGTTCCATTTTCATCATCACTCTCTTTTCTGATTTCAGAAAGTTGCTCGATTGTCTAGATCCATCTTGCGTCTTCTAGAAACAACAATTCCGGTATTCAGATACTCTAAATTTGATTATTATTTTAATCAGTTGCCTTTTTTTTGTTCTAAGCAAAAAATTTATGATGTACAGGGGGTTACTGAACCAATGTTGTACATAGGTATGCTATTCAGTATGTTTGCTTGGCATGTAGAAGATCATTACTTATACAGGTAACTATTTTTATTTATTGTTTATAATTTATATCTTACAAGTTTATGGTTATTAATTTTGTTTTTTCTTTTACAGCATTAATTACCATCATTGTGGAGCTGCAAAAACATGGTACGGTGTACCCGGTCATGCAGCAGTAGACTTTGAAAAAATCGTTCGTGAAAAGGTGTACACTCATGACATTTTATCAAATGAAGGAGAAGATGGTGCTTTTGATGTTCTTTTAGGAAAAACAACCTTGTTTCCTCCTAATATTTTGTCACAACATGGTGTTCCAGTTTACAAAGCTGTTCAAAAGCCCGGTGAATACGTCATCACCTTCCCCCGTGCATATCACGCAGGATTCAGTCATGGTAAAATATCACTCTTCCTTCTTTTCATTCACAAAATCCCAAGACTTTTCTTATTAGTTAATTAATATTTAATACTAATATTATATTGGTTTAGGTTTTAATTGTGGTGAGGCTGTGAATTTTGCAATCGGTGATTGGTTCCAGTTGGGGTCGATAGCAAGCCGTCGTTACGCTCTTCTTAATCGTACACCTCTCCTTCCTCATGAAGAACTTTTATGCAAAGAAGCCATGCTTATTTCATCATCATCATCTATAAGCCATGAAGATTTAGCATCTCAACTTAGTGTTAAGGCCTCGTTTGTGAATCTAATACGCTTCCAACATCGCGCACGTTGGTGTCTAACCAAATCCAGGGACTGTATGGGAATTTCACAACATTCTCATGGAACCATCCTTTGCAGTGTTTGTAAACGTGACTGTTATGTTGCGTATATCAACTGCAGCTGCTATTTACACCCCGTCTGCCTTCGTCATGGTAATTAATTAATTTACAACATAATCTAGTTTTTATGTTAACTTATTTGGTTATATCAACTTATTTGGTTCAGAGTTTAAGCCGCTTGAGTTGGCTTGTGGAACGAACTTTACACTCTCTGTAAGGGACGAAGTGTTGGAAACGGAGAAAGTTTCGAGAATGTTGGAAGAGGATAAAGATATTGTAAACGAAGCTGAACTTCAATTCCAAAACGCAAGTGACAAAGTTTTTCTATCTAATTTGTATCGAATAACTGAAGGCGATTCATACATTCCATATTGCAAGATCGATTTTGTTCCTCAACCCCCAATAGAAAGAGAAAGTTTACACGCGGATAATACTAAAAGCGCGTGTCATTACAGTGACAGCAACGACTCTGACTCGGAGATATATAGATTCAAACGCCGGTCATCTCTAAAGCCCAAACACAGACCAATGAATTTTGCATCCTCAAAATCAGAACATCAGGTAGAGAGAGCTACATTCATTTTGTGTTTTTGATAAAAAAAAAGCTATTGATTATTATTTTTGCTCACACTTTTAAATTTTATTTACAGGGGTTAAAGCGGTTGAAGAAGGCAGAGCCTGAAAGATTGAGTGTGATCTCCATCAAGTACAAGAAAACGGGACATGAACAAAGTGTGAGTGTGGGTAAGCGGAGAGATGAGAAAAGGGTGTTAGAGAGTTGTCCGAAGCGAATCAAAGTAAGAGGACCTTCGATTTCAATTACAGGTTTAGAAACAAAACAGATTCATTAATTGCCTAACAAAGTAACAACCAATACATCAGAGCAGCTGTAGTCAGTTTTAGCTTTTTATATGGAAGGAGCAGAGTAAGTAGAAAGAGCATATGACAAAAATTAACAAAAGTTGGTAGTAGATGAAAACACAAATTACGATTCTTTGTGCAGATGCCGCTTCTAATTGGGCTGGATTTGCACTTCTTTTTAGGTTCTGTTAGTGGTTTCTTTTCATGTACATTTATTTTCATGTTAGCACTCAATTTGATCAACGTGGTTAAAATGGTAATAATTCATATAATACCATCCAAACCTCTTTGTTTACTTCTTCTCATTTAATGTGAAAAATCTAATCTTTTCTTCTTTATTTGGTAATAACACTTGCTGTTTCACCGAATCTTTTTCATCCTTTGGATTCAAGGAAAGAATTTTCTGGTTATTTGGCTTAGAAGGTAAGACAAAGAACGATATATCAAGTAACGAGTTGCTGTCTTTTTGGTAGTTGGTACTCTCAACTTCATGAATGTGACAATGTCTTTTTTTTTTTTGCATAACTATTTTATGAATATAATAATATAATATGTTAATTATTAATCACCAAAAAAATTAGTTTTCCTCTTTTAACTAAAACCCGTTGATTACTTTTCTAATCATGGATTGCCTGTGTTGATTATAAAAACTTGGTTTGGTTTTAAAACATTTTCAGAAATGTTAAAAAGATGATATAACAGAGTAATCCAAGTTAATAAAGTTGTATATATTTAAGTAATTTTGGACATAAAGATTTGGTTAAATGCATGGATAATTACATAATTGATCATCAGAAATGTGCATTTATCTTTGTAAGTTGTAACCAAGTTTTGAGTCCTTTGCAAAGAAATAGTTCTGTTTTGAACTAACATTATATATATTTTTTTCTGATAGAAAAATACATCTTGGATTCCGGACAAAAAATATCTATCCAAAAATTTCAAGAATATGGTCGAAATCTGAAGAAACATAACAAATAGATTACGACAAATAGATTACGATACAGGTGTTATTTAGTATATAGCAAAAAAATAGACATCATATGCGATCCAAATTTGAATTTTTTATTTACTCGATGGCCACTTTGATAAACTTTTTTTTTTTTTTTTTTTTTTGGAACAGTGAGATAAATAAATAATTTTAATTATTTATTCATCTATTCCATAACAATATGTTCTTTTGTGGTTATCCCCTAAAATATATTACACGACACAAGTTTGGGCTATAAAATTTAAAAGCCCAGCCCAAATAAGAAAATTGATTCTGTTCAAATTTGACATTGAACATACTATTGTTACTTACGCATGAAAGCCTTTTTTTTACTGGATACATGTAAAGTTTCAATTTTTTTTTACTATTACATATTCCAACATAAAAAGTTATTAATTACATAATGTCAATGAATCGAGTTATATAAAGTAGATAGTCGACGTGGAGAAGAAAGTTTTAACGATACTGTTTTTCTTAAACATTTAATAACAATTTCCGTTATATAACTGAATTAAACATGTGAGAAAAATGATTGACAAATGTTATTTTATGCCATCTTTTAAGGTTGTTTTTATTAGTATTTTGCATCATATTTTATGTATTTGTATGTGCATTAGTTTAAATAATGTTCAACTTATGTTTATCGTTAGAATTCTCGTAATGCTCATGATTTTATGTCGTTTTTAGATATTTCGGATGAAGTAGTGGTTTGAGAGCAACTTGGATGCATATTTGGAGCTTAATGGAGCTAAAACACCTGAAAAAGCTGGAACCTGGGTTGGATTTGCTAACACTAAAGAGTACATGTCCGAAACACACGTTTTATGAAAATTGCGATCGTGCTTCTTACAAAAATGCGATCGCATTTGTGCTTCAAGGATTTGATGGGCCAAAAATTTAATATGAGGAATTTGGATAAAAAATGGGATCGTGGATTCCCCAAATGCGATCACATTTCTCATTCGATGTCTTAAAAGTGTTCAAAATAACAATGTACTTCATTAAATGGAGTTTCTGGGATTTTTGCCAAAAATGCGATCGCATTTCCAAAAATTCGACTGCATTTTCAAAAAAATGATCACTTTTTTTCATTTTCTTGCCCCGGGAGTTGTTGGCTTGTATATAAAGGCTCCATTTCTGATTAGTTTAAGCCCTAGACGACGAAAACGACTTGTGAATGTGATTTTCTGCACTTTTTCATCACTTTTTGAACATCTGAAGGCTACGGATCATCTCAATCATTCAGATTAGTAAGATTCACTAGTTTAATGTCGCTTTTCATTAGTTTTGATAAGATTTTAGCCATGTCTGGCTAAACCCTAGATTTCAGTTCTGCATAGATCAATACTTTTTATGTAATCAATCATTAGATCTGGTTTTTGATTTGTGAGTCTATCTAGTAATTCCAGTTTTGATCTTAATGAATATTTGATTTTGATTCTTTTTAGCTTGATCACCTAATTTATGATTGAATCATTCTAGTTAATCAGTGAATGGAATCTGTAACTGTTCTAATCAACTGGTAGTAAGTAACAACTATCAGATTGGTTCTGTGTTAGGATTTAATTCTGATATAAACAAAATTTTCATATTTTTACGCTTCTGAGCTTGTGAAAAGTATTGAATATTGCTGGGAATTTTACATAGATCTTAATACTGCTTTTTTGATTTTAATTAAGAGCTTGTTCAATTTAATTAGTAAAAAGTTAGGGTTAACTGAAGAGTTTGTTTTGGTTAATTAACTAGGTAAAAGAGAATGTACTAGAGCTTATTAGTTGTTCTCAGTACCAACTTAGATAGATTACATTTTGAACAACTAAGTCTGGATTAATTGTATGATTATGAAAGTCGTAGCAGAACTGAATTCGTTTTTATTACTGAATTTTTTGTGACATCCCCATTTTTACGGCTAGAAAAGACTGATTTGTTTATGCTTATTAAATCAGAGTATCATTTTAAAAAGATTTAGAGCCTGTTTGATAACTTGGTGACTGGGTCCGGTTAGCATTTTTTGGCTGACTCGGCCCAGTCAGCTTGTTTGATACAAGGTAATTTTCTCTGGCCCGGTAAGAAGCTACTGACCCATCTCCTGACTCAGTCCACTACAAAAAAGAAGCTGAATCGGTCTTTTTCTTGATTTCCTTCATTTACCCTTATCCCAAAACACGTCCGGTCTTCACATCTTTCTTCATCGTCGCCAAATTGATGGATTAACGCAAGCTACAACTCCACCGATTCTTCCTCAAACGTCGTCCACCCCTTCTCATGCTCCAACAATGACTTCTTCTGCCTCCGACCCTCCCGCCGACCACCATCTTCACTGCAGTAGGCAGCCCCGTCACCGGTAGCCCTTTGATTTTTTTTCCTGAAATTGAATGTATGTTTAGTGAAATTAAATATATGTTTCGTAAAATCAGATGCATGCTTCAATCTATTGCTAGTTGTTTTCTTTTGATTCTATCAATTTTGAAACTGCGATTGCTATAGTTTTTCACACAAAATCAATTTTTTTTCAATTGCAGGATTGATGACTCCAATTGATGCTTGTGTTGGATTGGAAGTGGTTGATTGTTGTCTTTTGGAAAAGTACCTCCATTTGGCCATAAACCAATGGTTTAGTCGAAGAATCGGTTTAAGGTGCAATGTAAACTGGAGAGTACTCATTGGTAGCTTCATCTTCAACCGACCATGTATTAGGAACAAGAACAGGTAAGTTTCTTGATCTTTTTGTTTTCAACAATTCATATATCTTTTCTAGCTGAATCTTTGGTGTTTAACATAGTTTTGGGCGTTTTAGTCAAAAATCGACTAGATGGATATCAACCAAATTGCATGAGAGACTGTGGTGTTGTTATTAATGTGAATATGGAATTGAGATCAAAATAACACAGGTGGTTTACAAGGAAAGCTCTTGATCCTTGCTAGGATCTCCGACATAAAACCTTGGGAGGTGATAATGATCACCTCCCTTGTATGATCTTATTGATTTGAACATAAATTATAGAGATGAGCTTGATAATACGATTACAAATGATAAAGTAAGTCTAGATGAGTAAGGTGTCAGCTGATTGTGTCCGTTGTATGTGTTTTACAAGTGTATTTATAGTATAGGTTAAGTAACTATAAATCCGAGATTTCCAGGATCCTGTTGAGCTGGTATTTACAACGTGCTTTGACTTGGTATTTCTGGGTTTTAAGCCTGGTTGGAGTGATTCTTTGTTGTGAATGAGTCCTATGTTGACCATTTCTACACATGTGACAAACAAACAAGAAATATAGCCATTGGCGATGTTCAGGATCCTAATGTATGTTCGGGATCCTAAGACTCCTTTAAGATCCAGGATCCTGGATAAGTTTAAGGATCCTTAGATATCTTTAAGATCTGGGATCCTGGATAGGATTGATGATCTTGGCCCTAACAATTTCCCCTAAATTATACCTACAAAATATTTGAATTAATTTCAAGTATTTAAAGTGTATAATTTAATTAATTAGAAATAAAGGATTTGGAGTTCAAACTCCAACGGATAGATTTATATCCGTTCAAAAGATGTGATTATGTTGTCAAATCTCTTCTCTATCCTTTGCGATCTACATAAATAGGGGTTAATGGTTAACGATCTTCTGTTACTTCTTTTAGCTATCTTTCAAGCGTTATTGGTTATCTTGAAGGTAAATTTCCTGTCCCTTTCTTCTCATTTTTCTTGTTTGATGATCATGGGTAAAAATGAACTCCGTTCTCGCTCGAGCATGTTCCTGACGAGGTCTTCCTCGATCAAAAGATCTTGTCTAACGAGGGGACTTGCTCTTGTAACGCCCCGATTCTCAGGTATTGTTTAAATAAGAAATTAATTGGTTTCAAGGCCTACTCGACGAGTTGGTTGCCCTACTCGTCGAGTAGCAGCGGGTTGGTTCGCGTATTTAGTGGCCTACTCGCCGAGTGCAAGAAGGGACTCGACGAGCAGGAGCTGGCAGATGAAACCCTAAATCCCGGGGTTTTGCACCCTATTTAAAGAAGCATAAGCCTCCTCTGGCCTCTTTGCAGTCCATTGAGAGTCCAGAAGAACCCTAACTCAAGTGTGTGTGTATTCTTTGGAAATTTTAGCTTGGAGGAAGATTTTTGGTTAGGGAATCTCTTGGGAAGTAAGCTAGTTGAAGCAAGAGCTTGTGAGTTTCAAGTTCTGCATCAGAAAGGGCTCTCTTGAAGGTATTAAATCGTTTTTCCCTTGGCTCATTTTCTCCTAAACCCTTTTGTGCATAAGTTTAGGAAA